TCTCCCAGGGTACCCTGGGGTGGGCTGGCCCTTGACCCACCGCTCTCTGTACTGGTCCCAGGGTGGGCTGGGAAGCTAGGAGGCAATGTGGGAAGAGACCAGGGTCTCTTCCCACATTGAAGCTTTTGGGGAGGGACTGGGATGGTGGGGACAAAGGGTGTGGGTGCATTCTCCCTTCTCAGTGGAGCCCTGCGTCTTGGGGAATCTGTGATGAGTCCGATGACACTAGGATATAAGTACCTGTGTGGTTCAGCACGGTCCCTGTGGAGGGTCCATTCATCCTGAAAGAGAACCTGTTACACCAAAGCTCTGCCCAGAGGCAAGGGCCGCGTGGCACTGTGGCAACCAGTGTGGGCAGGAATGGGGCCTTTCCTGACTCCACAGGAAGTCTCTGTGTCCCCTCTGCAGAGCTGGCTGGACTCTTAGGGGACACAGTCCTGCAGAGGGCAGGCCCCGTCCTTGGCCCTGTGCTCTGTTCCTCCATGGGGAAGCTGCACCTAAAACCCTCTCACCTTCATGCTGTCCCCAGGGGATGCCTGTGACATGAGACCTGAACTAAATGCAAAAAAGGAAAGACTAAAGAGTCGTTTTCCAACAGCGCAGAGTCCCCTTTCCAAGGAGCGTTTCTGGCGCCTGCTCCAGAAGTGGGTGTGGCCTGCTCCAGAGGTGGGTGTGGCCTACCACCAGCCTTCCTGGTGTCCTCCCTGCCATTGTCATCACCATGGTCAAGCCCGCTCCCCAGGGCTGGGTCTTTGGATCCAGCTGGTCCCTCCTCTGGGTGAACCGGGGACATTTCCTGGTTTGCAGGAGAGCACAGGCTGAGACTGTCAGAGAGAGGAGCTGCCCCTTTGAACTCGGTGTCTTCCCCCCACCCCACTGGAGCCTTCTCCCCACCCCGAGCCACAGGTGCCAGTCAGCACATTCGGCAGGGAGGCCCTTGCATGTCTCCTCAAAGTTCCCCCAAGGAAGACACATGTTTTCATCACGGCGCCTGCCCGGGACTGAGGGCCAGGAAAGGGGACAAAGTTGATTCTGCCCTAAATCATTCTCCTGATGCCAGTGGCCTTAACATCCCAGCTTTGTACCTCTGAGATCATTCTGAGTCTTTGGCCCACAGTCCCGTGTGCTGTTGGGGAGCAGGAATACTGGGGCACCCAGTGCAGCAAGCAGGGCTCCCTGGTCCCCAGTCACTTAGGACGGCGCCTGCCTGGGTCTGCTCTGAAGCAAGATGGCCGCCCTGCCGGCTGCAAGCAGAGCTCTTCCCAGGGCTCAGCCGGCAGCACCCACCACCCAGGAGCTGCAGCCCAGAGAATCCCTGCCCGTCCTTCAGAGGAAGGCTGCCCAGGTTGCCTGTGTAGCCGCAAGACTGGCTGTGCATGGGTTGCCAGGAGAGCACTGCTAGACTGGCCTTCCACTACTGGACGTGACCTCAGGTGGCCACAGGTCCTCCCTGAGGGCTTTACTGGGGAATGGGTCAGAACAGTCTGGAGAGAGCACAGGCCTCACCAAGGGGATAGGATGCTGGGTGCCAGGTCTCACAGCCACAAGGCCTTTGCTCCTCTGGCACATTAGGGATCTGGACCAGCTCATTTGTCACTGGCTTTGACAGAGGAGACCATCACAGGTGCGCTGCCCTGACACCACGGGGACAGGTGTGGGTATCACTGCCAGAGTCCACCAGACACCCATCCCTGCAGCTGGACACTCACATGAAGGGGAGGGAGGGACACTGAGCAGCCACCTGACTGACTCATCTCTGCTAATTTTGTAAATATGAAAATTAACATTTTTTTTCTGGTTGATTGCTTTTGAATTGGTCTATCTGGCAAAGGGACTTCTTGGCACACTGACTCCCTGGCAGACTGTCCCTGGGCCCTCACAGTGAGTCCCTATGCATGTCACAGCCCTTAGGCTCTTTCCCAGAGGCAGATGGTTTGTTGTGCGGCCAAATCGACGTCACAACTTTCCCACCATCTTTGTTCTGCCAACAGCCATGGCAGGTTCTTTGGGCAGGTCCAGGAGTTCATTGTCCCTTCTAGAGAATGTCAAATACATCAAAAGCTCAGCTGGACATTTCCTGAATCGCTAAGTTTCTTCCTGCCACTTACTCCGGGTCCTCTGAGGACCGGGGTCCTCACTCAGTCCACTGTGATTCAGAGATTAAGGAATCAGGAACCCGGGAGCATGGCAGAGGCCCCAGGGGAACCCAGGGAAGAGCCACAGAGCATGGGGCACCTGGCAGCGAGACATGATGACAGTGTTGACCCCGGTGAGGTGGCAGGTTAACACTGGTGACAGATTGCGGGGAGGGGCTTGTTATTTTAAAATGATCTTCAGGGCTGAGGATGTGGCTCAAGCGGTAGTGCGCTCGCCTGGCATGCGTGCAGCCCAGGTTCGATCCTCAGCACCACATACAAAAAAAAACCAAAGATGTTGTGTCCGCCGAAAACTAAAAAATAAATATTAAAAATTCTCTCTCTCTTTAATAAAATAAAATAAAATAAAATAATCTTCAGTGTCATTAGAGACTTGCGCAGCTCTAGCCAGCTGGGTCTGCAGACCCAGTTTGGGTGGTGAGAAGCCAGTCTTGCTCCTGCCTGTTTCAAGGGTGCCCTGTCCGAGTGTCAGCATGACCCAGACTGTGCAGAACTGAAGCCACATGGTCTGACTCGGTGGTGCCCATCTGCCCGCCTCGTGAACATGGTTCCGGGCCTGCCACTCCTGGGGTCAGCTGGAAAGTGTAAGGGGGCTTCTCAGGGGCAGAGGTTGCTCTACTTTTGTGGCATATTTAAGACAAAACCAAGAGGAAGAAACGCGGGTGGTCCGGCACCACACCCTCCACTGCTGGTGTGATTCTCACCCACCAAGGGTATCACCCGCTGGGTCTGGATCTGAATGGTAAGGGCCACGGGGGCTTCAGTGTTCTTGACCGATGTTCTGTGGTGTGATAGCATTTGGGGTGGCTGACAAGCCCATTCCCTAATCACATGGCTCCAGAAAACAGCAGAGTCAGCCAACTGCACTGCCCTGACCTGCTCATTCTGAGCCAATGGCAAAGAGACCCGTCTGCGGCTGGCTTAGCAGGAGACGGGTCCTCAGGCTCCTTCCCTAGGAGCACCGACAGGTTACCTGGGTGTCTCTTCTTTGCAGTGTGAAATGACCAATGGAGCATGGAATCAGGAAAGACTGATGTCAGACAGAGTGGCCTGCATGCAGAGTGTGGGATTTCTGCAAAACCACTTTGCATAACCCACCACTGAAGGAGGGGAGGGCCTCACCAGAGTCCCTGGGGACACAGTGCCTGCCTGGGACTCCTCTGGTTCCCTCCTGCTGCTCCCTGGAGAGCAAGGATCCCCTTCTCCTGCATTCTGCCCAGACAGGGAATGCGCTGGTAAAAGCTGCCATTTAAAATAAAGGCCAACAAGAGCCAGGCCTGCGCTCAGATGGGGTAAGAGCCATCCCCTGGGAAGGCGGCTCTTCCCATGAGGAAAGGCCAGGGTGTCTGTGGGCGGAGATGACATTCAGTCCTCCCTTTGGCACAGCCTGGAGACCGAGGCAGAGAGCCAGTGCTACGGTTAAAAAATCCAGAGGACATTTGAGCTTTCTATAGACCAAATAGAAAAGACGGGAAGGGCTTCAGACTGTGGACAGTGGGCCAGCAGAGGCTGGAGGGAGGAGACAAAAGGGCAGGCCCCCAAGACCCAGTTCTGCCCTTGGAGAGAGGGCAGGGCCTGCAGCTCTGGGTCTCTTGGCTGCTGGAGAAGTGGGGTCAGGCCTGCAGCGCACCAGGCTTGGGCTGGCCCGTGGCTGCACAGCAGGATGGGCCCTCCCCAGAGGCCAGCCCTGGGAGCTGGACAACTATGCAAACCCAGAGAGGACAAGCAGCCCAGGGCGGAAGGGGAGCAGGATGGCTCTGAGGGGCGGCACTGACCAGGTCCCTTCCCCATGAAGGCCTGCGTGGGTGGGGCTAAGCTCTGATGTCTTCCTTTGGTGATTTGGGACCAGATTCCCCTCCTGGCAGCTCCTTCCCAGTCTGTCTCCTAGCTGTGTGCTCAAGTCAAGTGGCCTCACTCCCTCTGAATCCCTCCTGGTGGCTTCCTGCAGCACCCCTCCCCCACCCCAGCTTTCAGTACTGAAGTAGGTTGAGCAGTGGCCCCCACCAAAGCATCCACATCTGAGTCCCCAGAAGCTGCAGATGCCATTCTGCAAGGTGACAGGGACTCTGCAGGTGTGATTAAATTAAGGATCTTGAGATATGAAGATTTTCTTGGATATCTGCATGGGAATCCCCAAGTGGGAATCACATATGTCCTTAGAGGAAAGAGGGAGGAGAGAGGGAGGGCAGGTGGGGAGGGAGAGAGAGAGAGAAAGGAAAGAAAGAGGGGAGGGAGAGAACAGTGGAGGTGGGCGAGGGCATGCCATGCTGGAGGACTTGGAGAGGAGGAAGGGCAGTCGGTCAAGGAATCCAGGCCCTTCCGGACCCTGGAACAGGCCGGGAAGTGGCTTTTCAGACAGAACCACTTCTGTGGATATCCTGCTTTTAGGCTTCTGACCTCCAGAAAATACTGAGTCCTTCTCTGGCAGCCCCAGGGAGCGACGGCGCCATCTGCATGGTAGAGCTCTCCAGCTCCCCAGGGTGTGCGCCCAGTCGCCCGCCCACTCCTCCACTTGGTACCCGGTAGGCACCTGACTCCAGCTCCCCGAAAGCACTTCCTGGTTTTCCAGAACCTGCTTCATCCGTGCCCTCCCAGCTGAGTCGGCCTCAGCTCTGTGCCCTCAGGGAAGCCCGCACCACCTGGGAGCTGCCCTTGACTCCTCCCTGAGGAGACCGAAAAGCCAGATGCCTGAGGCCCCAAAGTAAAGCCATTTCCCACATCACAGCTTCCTGTGCAATGCACCTCACCCTGCACCTCTGCCTTGCACCCACCCAGGAGTGGCCAAGTGACAGCACTCAGGGACGTCAGAGGACCAGGGCTCGTGGCCCAGACACCGACACTCACTCTAGTCTCTCGTCTTCTCTCCTCCGGAGGTCGAAGTCCCGCTGCACCACCTCCCAGATGTGCTCCGCCTCTTCATCCGTGAGCTTGGAAAGGTCCAGCTTTCTCCCCATCTCTGCCTCTTGTCTGAGTCACACCTGGAATGTCACAGGGTCACAACTGGTCAGCCCCAGGAAGCCTACAGATACCAACCGAGTCCTAGAGTAAGAGGAGGGACAGCAATGATTCCTCCGAGTGTCTCGAAGTTTCCTGCCTGGAAATCGGTGTCATCTAATAAATCCTGCACAGTTTACCAAATCTAAAGGAGCCCCTGTTTACAGTTTCCACACGGGACACATGCAGGGCCACTGATATTCTCTTCCCACAGGGAGACAAACATCATGCTTCTCCATCCTGGGGCGCGGCTCCCTTGCTGGGTGAGGGCTTTGCCATGCCGCCCCCAGGCTTCCTAGGGAGAGAGTCCCTTCTCCACATCCTCCCAGGCTCTGGGGGTGGGGGCTGATGGCCAGGCAGGAAGCATAAGGAGATACACATCATCTGTGAGGGTCGCTGTCCTCTGACGTGGGGGGTTCTATGGCTGGATTAGAGGTTGCTTAGACTGTGAGCCCTGGACCCCATCAGTCCATCCTAGTCTGAATGGACTGACTGGGTGGTTAGCTGTGGGTGTGGCTGGAGGAGGTGGGTCTGTGGGGGCTGCCCTGCAAGTGGGCACCTTCCCTGCAGCCCGTCCCCTCTCCGTTTCCTGTCTGAGCTGAGCAGCTTCCCCCCACGGGGCCCTTCTGCCAGGACCTGCTGCCCCGCCTCAGGCCCAGAGCAGTGGGGTCGCTGTCTGTGGTCCCAACTGTCCCAATGCACTCTCCCTCCTCTAAGCTATTCTAGTCAGTGTTTGGATCCCAGTGACAGAGATGAGGAAAGCTTGTTCCCCAAGGTTTGTCACGTGGTAGGGAGGTTCCTGGGGTCACACAGCATGATGCCCGCATGAGTGCATTGTGCTGGAGTTGGGGACATTCGACAGGCACTCGTGGTGAGGCAGAAGTGACTCAGGTAAGGGAGAGGCAGACACCTGGGCAGGTGGCCAGGGCAGCCAGCGTTGCCTGCTGACAGAGGTCAGCTGAGGGAGGCTGCCCCACAGGAACTCTGGGCCCTGATGTTCGTGAGGATGGCCAGCTGCTGCCCTCAGGGGCCTGATAACCCAGTCCCCCTCACTGTGCTGGGGCTCTGTGTCTAGATGACCCACAAACTGGAAAGTCAAACTTGAGACTTTGAAATTTGCCACACCTGATCCCCATCAACGGTCAAAAAGACACAGAAAAGAAACTACAAATGTCAGAAACCAAGATAAGCAGAACATTAGAAACTCGTTTGCAATTCAAAGTGTGGTCAGCAGCCTGCAGCATCCCCTGGGAGCCTGTTAGGAATGCAGGTTTCCGGGCCCACCCAGCCAGACTGGCTCAGATTCTGTATTTTGACAAGGTCCCTGGGCAGTTTGCACAATAGAGCTGGCCAGTGCTGCTGGTTCTCGGGCCCCTCCGGGTGGCAAAGCTCCAGGGGAGACCCATGCACTCAAGCCACAGAGGACCTTGGTCTGTGGACTAAGGGGTGGGCCATGGGCACGGGGCAGGCCAGGGGTGGCAGTAGTGGTGGCTGAGCAGAGGACAGTGCTCTGCTGGCTTTTCAGACAACACTGCTACTGGGTATAACACTGGAGGCGTCACTGTGGAGGGAGGAGGGAGGACCCTCCTGGGGACACTGCAAAGCTCCTCCTACTCCCCTTCAGAGGCTTCCCAGCCATCTCCACTCCTTCACTGTCCCCTGCCCCATGCACCCTGTCTCTCCTAACAGTGGTGCCAGACAAGTTACTGTTAAGCTCGGTGGGGACAGTGTCTGTCTGTGCTGGGCACTCAGTGGGTGCTTTCCATGCCCCCAGCACAGAACTCCGCTGCAGACCTGCAGGGGAGCCCTGCGACCTGAGATTCTGCTGTGACCATCAGACCAACTGGGCTCCAGGCTTTGGGAGTCCCAGGGAAGGTCACGTTAGGATGACCCCAAAGGCCTGTTGTGGATGACCAGAGGCCAGAAACCCAGCATGTGACTCAGCAAGCCTTTCTTGAGGACTTAAACCCATTTCCTTGGGACATCTGAGAAGGCGCATAGTCAGTGCCCTTCCAGCGGGAGCTGGGGACCCACAGAGACCAGCTCTTGCTTTGAATCTCGCCCAGCATCCGGCTCCAGCGCCACCGCGCTTGCCAAAAGTTCTGAGAAAACCTTAAAAGCATTTGCCTCGCCCCAGAAATGTACTTGGATTTGGTGACACAAGAGGTCAATCATGAAAAGCGACATGGTCTAGCATATATTATTTAAAATGAAAATTTTCAGAGGTCCATGGCTGCCAACCAAAATATTTTAGAAAAAAATGTGTCTTAAAACTGGTGGAAAATAATTTCTTAAAATTGTTGCCACCACACCACAAGGTTTCTAAGCTCCATGCCAACTGTGAGAAACTCACCATGGGCGGGGGCCAACTGCACATTGCCAGTTGAACTCAGATTCTAGACAGGAAAGTGCACAGTGGAAAGCCAGCATTCCTGATGCTCCCAGAACACATGGTGTCTGGCTTCTAGAAGTGAACAAACAGTTCTTATCTGATGCATGACTGGGGCTTATTCATTTTGGGGGAAAAAAAAAGTATCATAAGGAGAGCATTCATTGAAATTCTATTTTCAGAACGGATGAGCAGCGTGACCCTCAGATGAGGAGTCCTTATTCTCTCTCCTCCTAAAGCAGAAGTCAAAATTCCAGGCCTTGATATAAGAAGCTTATGTCCTTAGGTGTGAGGAAGGAAAGAAAAGAAAAAAACAGAAAGTGCATGTTTCTTGTCCTGCAAACTTGCCTTTTTCAGAGGGAGGCCAAGGTCACAGCTCCTCAGAACTGACCCCCAGGGCTGCCCACTGCACACTGAGGAGGTCCGTCCTCTCTGTCCCCGCGGAGCCTGTTTCTTTTCATCTGATGCCTGTTCCTCATAGGATGACCCCAGAGGCCTGTTGTGGATGACCAGAGGCCAGAAACCCAGCGTACGACCTCAGCAAGTCTTTCTTGAGGACTTAAACCCATTTCTCAGCCAAATAACAAAGACCAACGAAGTCAGGAACTGCGTAAGAGAGCTCAGGGAGCCTTCGGGCTAGGGAGGGACTGGACACCTGTGTTGAGTGGTCCCTGCCAGAATGGGGCAGGGGAAGGGTCCAGGCTGGTGCTAGGACATCAGAGTTGGCCTAGAGCAAGGCTGGGGGCAGCAGCATGTTGGAACGTGGGTGTGAACCAGCGTGGCACAGGGGGCAACAGCCTCTATGACTGGAGGCTCCAGCAGTGGCCCTGAGTTCAAGGACACATACACACTGTGCTGTTTATATCACACCTGTGTGATTTCCATTCAGAATTTGAAAAGTACACACCCCACATAGCTAAGCCAAGAGCAGTGTGTTGGCGCCTCTCAGGCAGGGAGTCCCCTGGAAAGTTCTGCTCTAGTGCTAATTCTTAGCTCCGGCCTCGTGAGGGGGGGGTGCAGGCCGGGAGGCCAGGGAGCCTCTGCAAGCTTCTCTGATGGCTGTGCCTGCTACAGAGACCCTGCTTGTTCAAGCACAGTTCCTGGACAGAGAGTGGTTGAGAGCCAGTGTTCCCAGCAGGGTGGAACTTTATCCACCAAGTCCTCCCCTTGATGAACTGGGGCCATGCAGCAGCTGGACACTTTAAAAAGTCAATCTCTGGAGAGCAATCTAAAATCAGATGGACAATAGGTTCGACCGTAGCATTTAAAATGCACAACCAAGTCGGTGGCATTTGGGGGACATATTGCAAGCCCCCTCTGCCTGTCCCAGGCCAGCTCAGGTTGAGGTCACTTGAGTGTGGTAGGGGCATCCCCCACCCCCACAGTCAGACTTACCCACAGCCTTCAGCAGGTTGTGGTCCCCTGTGGCCCCCAAGGCCTGGGTCTGTATCCACCACCCGACCACCCACAACTGTCAAGGGGCACGGGCGGCCGGGGAGGTGCTAGGCCTGTGTGGTGCAGAGCTGCTCTGAGCTGCCCTGCAGGGAGGGCTGATGGGCGTGTGCTGGCGCAGCGGGGACGCCGCTGGGCTGTTTCGTTCTGCTTCTGTGCAGATAACCCCTAGTCACGAGGTTCCTGAACCAAGACACTTTTAATGTGTTTGTGCTGCACTGCTCAGAGTTAATCCTATTTCAAATCTTGGAGACGTCCGTCTTCCCCAATGGTTTAGTGGTCAGAGTGGAGAAGAGGGAGGTGACCTGGAGACAGACCAGCAGGAAGGAGAGAGCGGAGCTGGAACGCACAGCCTCGACTCAGATCACTGAATGTCACGGGCTTGTCATGTCCATCCACTAAAGGCTTCAATTCATATTTTGGTCGAATCGAAGGGAAATCTCTAATGGTGTTTCTCCTAGCAAAGACCTGGCTTAGTCAACTCTGGGGCTTGTCGCCTCCAGGAACTGGAGGACACTGACTTTGAGTGGGCACCCACCCAAGCAAACAGAAACTGGAAAGTCAAAGTCCCTCATTAAATGCCGGGCTAACAATAGCAGGGCACTTGACAGCCAGTGGCAAGGTGTGTTGTGTGGCTGTGTTCCTGCTGACATGGGTGTGGGCAGAGGTGCCATCTGTGGTGCCCTCTGCCTTCAGCCTTTGTAGCTCTCCCAAATTATGTCCTCACAGCTGGCCTCTGGGGTCACTTCTGTGGGCAGGGCCTGATGCCCACTGCTAGAATGGAAGCCCAGCCTTCCTCAGCAGCAAAACGAGCACGTTTCCACCCAGAGGGCTGCTGCCTGCCCTGCAGGGCACCAGGCACCAACACAAGGCTCTGGAATGGCTCATGCAGGTGGCTGTCCTGCAGCTCAGCTGCCCACCCACCCTGTCCATTCTCTCTGTTCCCCAGCTCTCTGAGAGTTTCTCACTTGTCCACAGACACAGGTTCTGCACCTCTAAAGCCTTCGCTCCCATCTCTGCAGCGAGTCCAGACCCAGGAACAGCCGCAGAGAGCTGGCAGCTGGGCTCTGGTCCCGCTCAGGCACAGCCTTCCCTGCCACTGGGGACAGATTCCTTCTC